AATTCAGGAGACACAGGTTCTGTCCCTGATCCGAGAAGATCCCATAGGCCGTGGAGCAACGAAGCCTGTGCGCCACAACTACTGATCCCGTGAAGCCCTAGGGCCCGTGCTCCGCAACGAGAAGCCATCACAAGTCCACACACTGCAAAGCAACAGTGACCGAGCACAGCCAAAAATAAAAATAAATTTAAAATTATTTTTCTAAAAGTGTTAGTTGCTCAGCTGCTCGACTCTTTGCAACCCCATGGACTGTAGCCTGCCAGGCTCCTCTGTCCAAGGGAAGGTGCCTTTCCCTTCTCCAGGGGATCAAACTCAGGTCTCCTGCACTGCAGGCAGATTCTTTATCATCTGAGCTACCAGGGAAGCCCTTTTTTTATTTAAAGCGTACAACTAAAAATTAAAAAACAGTCTAGATGCCTGCCATCAGCACAGTCAAGTGCATTCAGAGGCATGTCCTTAGTGAAACACATGGGCCAGCATCTTCCTCAAAGTCAGAAGATGCCCGAAGCAGACCTACAGACCATGATCTCTCTTGACCCTGAAGAGTAGCTGACACAGCACATGGTGTCTGAGATGGCAGGACCGCATCCCACGGTGCAGGAGACCCATGTGAAAGCACGGTGTTGGGTACCACGGGGCCGGGCAGGGTGCGGAGCATCGAGATGTTTGTATCCTTGCTAACGGTGCCCAGGACGAGGCGCCAACGAAGTCTGGTCTTCATGCCCTCAATCTCGGGGTCACCATTCTTCTCAAAACAAATGTAAATGAGACAAAAACTGGTGTAATTCAGAGCAGCTGCACCTGGGGCACAGTAAGGTCTCAGCCTTCCATGTCACGGTGTGACCCACAGCAGCACTGCAGGTGTTAAGAAGACGAAGCTTCAAACAGGCAAATGCCTCTGCCCTCTTCCACTCATCCTGGTGACTTCTGGAAACACGTTAATACCTGCCTTTAGCACTAAGATAGTGTTGGCACCGTTCTCAAGCTTAGACAGGCAACCACGTCCAGGCGGACTCACTAGCGCTGGCTCCATTCCACTGTGTTTATTTTCAGAGTTACCTGCTATTCAAGTCAACTAAGAATGGCTCTCCCCAGTACAGTAATCACATAAAACTCCATTTTTAGGACTTCCCTGGTGATTCAATGGTTAAGACTCCACACTCCTAACGCAGCAGGGCCTAGGCTCAATCCCTGGTCAGGGAACTAGATCCCACATGCCGCACCTAAGACCAAGCGCAGTCAAAATAAACAAATTCTTTTTTTAAAAAAAGAACATTGGATGCCCCCCAGACTCCACTCTTCCTTCCTTAGTGAAAGTGAAAGTCGTTCAGTTGTGTCTGATTCTTTGCCACCCCATGGACTATACAGTCCATGGAATTCTCCAGGCAAGAACACTGGAGTGTAGCCTTTCAGTTCTCCAGGGGATCTTCCCAACCCAGGAAATCAAACCGGCGTCTCCTGCATTGCAGGCAGATTCTTTACCCACTAAGGCACCAGGGTAGAGAAGCAATCGGCAACCCACTCCAGTATTCTTGCCTAGAGAATCCTGTGGACAGAGGAGCCTGGTGGGCTGCCATCTATGGGGTCACACAGAGTCGGACGCAACTGAAGAGACTCAGCATGCATGCATACATTGGAAAAGGAAATGGCAACCCACTCCAGTACTCTTGCCTAGAGAATCCTGTGGACAGAGGAGCCTGGTAGGCTTCCGTCTATGGGGTCGCACAGAGTCGGACACGACTGAAGCGACTTAGCAGCCGCAAAGCTACCAGGGAAGCCCTCTTCATTCCTTGGCCATGGGGTTATTCTGGGGGGGCGGGGGGATGGACACATTGCCTCCTGAGCAGCCAGGGGAGGCCTTGGGACAAATGTCAGCCATACAAGTAGGAACCTGTGTGCACCTTCCAGGAAGGGTCCTTACAGCTTGGGGGAGGGGAAAGGTGCATCTTTGGGCCAGAGACCCATCGCACAGTGATGAAGCCTATGGGTCTCTTCTCAGAAAAATGTTTTAAAATACATAACCTAAAAATAAATAAATAAATAAATAAATAAATAATAAAATAAAATAAAATACATAACCTAAAACACTCAAGATTACAAAGGAAACTGATTATACTGAAATAGAATTACCAAAACGTAAACAAAGACAAGTGACAGAATAGTACACAGGATTTTACATTTTCTCATTAAAAAACTCTTATTTTCATGTAGAAATGACACTGTGAGATCTTTTTCATATCACTGTCACAGGAGCCAGCGACTTCTATCACTGACAGTCACTCGCGTGGCTGAGACTACTAAGGTTTCTATGATTCGCTGCTACTTTCATCATTAAAGAAAACACAACCTAAGCGTCCACTGACAGATGAGTGGACAAAGACAACACACACACACACACACACACACACACACACACACACACACACACACAGAGGAATATTATTCAGCCATGAAAAAGAATGAAATTTTGCCATTTGCAGCAACACAGATGGACCTGGAGGGTACCACACTCAGTACAGAGAAGGACAAATACTGTATGATATCACTTATATGTGGAATCTTAAAAATAAAACAAACAAATGAACATAACAAATGAAAAACAGACTCACGGATACCAAGGACAAACTAGTGGTTACCAGTGGGGAGAGAAAAAGGGAAGGGACAATATGGAGGAAAGGGTAGGAGGTACAAACGACGATGGATGAAATAAACTAAAGGGCACACCATACAGCACAGAGACTATAGCCAACATGTCATAATAACTTTATATGCAACATGTCCCATAAAACCTTTGAATCACTGTGTTGTACACCTGGAACTAACAATATTGTAAACAATACTTCAATTAAAACAAATTAATTAACAATCTCCCCAGGGGTCCAGTGGTTAAGAACCCTCCTGCCAATGCAGGGTACATGGGTTCGCTCCCTGGTCCAGGAAGATTCCGCCTGCCACAGGGCAACCGAGCCCATGGACCACAGCTCCTAAGCCCACGCTCTCGGGTCTGTGCTCCACAGCAAGAGAAGCCACCGCAACGAGAAGCCTGAGCATAACAATGACAGAAAGCCCCCATGCAGCAAGAAGACCCCACACAGCCAAAAGCAAAGTTAATTAATTTCTTAAATAAAATAATAACAAAATGAAGGCAATACTGAATACTAAATTTCAGTCATATGATAGAGGAAAAAGCTGTAATTTCTTTTGCAAGTTCAGATCCCTGAATCCTACCTAAAGAAATGGAGGAAGTTTCTCCTTTGCCCCCTCCTCATTCCTGATACCTGGGATAAGAATGAGATGGCTGGACCTAAAACAGCCATTTTGGACAATGAGGCAAGACAGAAGGAGCCCCACTCTCTGGTGACCATGGAGCCAAACACTGGCCTAGCCTGCCTGCCTCTGGACAGAACGATGATTTATATATTAAGCCACAGATGGTTGGTTTATTCTTTATCATATAAAGCCACTCAAACCTAACCTTTCATCAAGAGCCTCTTGATCAAAGTGAAAGAGGAGGGTGAAATTCTGGCTTAAAACTCAACATTCAAAAAACAAAGATCTTGGCATCCAGTCCCATCATTTCATGGCAATTAGATGGGGAAACAATGGAAACGGCGACAGACTTTATTGTCTTGGGCTCTAAAATCACCGGAGATGGTGATAGAAGCCATGAAATTAAGATACTTGCTCCCTAGAAGAAAAGCTATGACCAACCTAGACAGCATATTAAAAAGCAGAGACGTTACTTTTCCAACAAAGGTCCGGCTAGTCAAAGCGATGGTTTTTCCCAGTAGTCATGTATGGATATGAGAGTTGGACCGCAAAGAAGGTTGAGTGCCAAAGAATTGATGCTTTTGAACTGTGGTGTTGGAGAAGACTCTTGACAGTCCCTTGGACTGTAAGGAGATCAAACCAGTCAATCCTAAAGGAAATCACTCCTGAACATTCATTGGAAGGACTAATGCTGAAGCTCCAATACTCTGGCCACCTGATGCAAAGAACTGACTCACTGGAAAAGACCCTGATGCTGGGAAAGATTGAAGGCAAGCAGAGAAGGGGATGACAGAGCATGAGATGGCTGGATGGCGTCACTGCCTCAATGGACATGAGTTTGAGCAAGCTCTGGGAGTTGCTGATGGACGGGGAAGCCTGGTGTGCTGCAGTCCATGGGGTCGAAAAGAGTCAGACACGACTGAGTGACTGAACAGAACTGAAACCTAACCATAATTGCTATACCTCTTCTGAGTGGTGAGGGTGCCAACAGGTTGCACCTGATCATTAACAACCTTCACTCATCTTTGAGAGATGCACCCTACCTTATGTACAAAAGTGATTCCTCCAGGGATACAAAGGAAACCCAACTAGAAACCTCCTCTGTAGCTGACAGCCTTGCAGGAGGCAAACCCCAAGATCCTTGCATGACAGAAGTCTCCCTCGGCCTCCCTGCTGCTCCACCTCTTGAGGCACGTCCTTTAGAACAGGAGTCCTCATCCCCCGAGCGGGTACCAGTTCAAGACCTGCTAGGAACCGGCCACACAGCAAGAAGAGAGCAGCAGTGAGCGATGGAACCTGTATTTATATTCACAGCCACTCTCCATCGCGCGCATTACTGCCTGAGCTCCACCTCTCATCACATCGTCACATCGTCACATCGTGGTGGCATGATAAAGGTAAAACACTTGAATCACCCAGAAACCATCCCTGCCCCCTGGGTAAATGGAAAAATTGTCTTCCACAAAACTGGTCCCTAGGGGCATAAATGTTTGAGGGCTCCTACTTTAGCAAAACGATGCATGAACCCAAGTATCAGGTTTCACAGCTCAGGGAAAGCTTACGGCCACACACCACACTTCAAGGCCACAACCAGCACCCACAAACCTGACTTCATCCCAGACTCCGTTAAGTCCGCAGCCACCCAGGAGCTAGCACAGAGGCACTGCCTCCAGGATGTGCAGGCCCCAGGGTCACCCAGAGATGGCAGACGCTGCCCAGAAAGTACTTACTGACTGTCATGGACTCTGGCACCGAGGCAGAAGGTAACAGGCTGCTCAGAGGACTTTCCTGGCCTGGAGGACTGGCTTCCACACTGGAAAGGCAAGCAGAAGGAAGTGAAGAGTCAGCCACTTAAAACACAGCACCTCGACATTCAAAACAAACGCAGCAGGCACTGAGTTCGTCCAGGTTTCCCGACTCCAAGGAAGGGAAGGCGGCCCTTTGAGATCACAGTCCATCCTCTGTGTGTGTAGATTCCCTATCTGCAAATTCGCCTACTCCCTGAAGTTTACCTGTAACCCCCAAACTCCGCCCTCTCGGGGCTGACGTGGTCATCCGTGAACACGTACATGCGTGCCTGTGCACAGTCCCTTCAGTCGTGTCGGACTCTTTGCGACCCCGTGGACTGTAGCCAGGCATGCCCCTCTGTCCATGGGATTCTCCAGGCAAGAATACTGGAGTGGGCTGCCACCTCCTCCTCCAGGGGATCTTCCCCACCCAGGGATCGATCCAAAAAGCCTCTCACATCCACTGCACTGCAGGCGGGCTCTTTACGCTGGCGTCTCCCAGGAAGCTGGAAGCGCTGTCTGTCATTCCTAAACACAGGACTGCGCAGTGCCTCGTGGGGGAAACCTGTGTGAGACGGCCTCTATTCAGCCTGATGGTGCGGCAGCAAAGAACCCGCCTGCCAATGCGGGAGATGCAAGAGATGCGGGTTGGATCCCTGGTGTGGGAAGATCCCCTGGAGGAGGGCACAGCAACCCACTCCAGTATTCTTGCCCAGAGAATCCCATGGACAGAGGGGCCTGGTGGGCTACAGTCCATGGGTTCACAAAGGAGTCAGACACAACTGAAGCAACTTAGCGCACACACACACGATGAAAGTACCGCTGGTCATGAGTTCCCCGTCACTGAAGCAACAACGGGTGTTAGATGGGATGTCTTTAAACAGGAGCAGACAGAAACCAAAGGTACTTACTGATCCACTGACCAAAATGCTGTGGCCAGACACACTCCGAGGGACCTGGGGGCAATGGCTCTGTCTTGAGAGAACACGGCCACCAGAAATAAAGAGAGCTGCTTGTGTAGTTACAAAGAATTTGCAACATAGAAAAATAATACTTCACATCTTTCATGAAAACAGCCCCCAGGAGAATACCCAGTGGCCCATATAGTCAAAGCTATGGTTTTTCCAGAAGTCATGTACAGATGTAAGAGCTGGACCATAAAGAAGGCTGAGCGCCAAAGAACTGATGCTTTTGAACCGTGGTGTTGGAGAAGACTCTTGAGAGTCCCTTGGACTACAAGGGGATCAAACCAGTCAATCCTAAGGGAAAGCAATCAAAAATATTCACTGGAAGGACTGAGGCTTCCTTTGGGTGACACCAACCCTTCCTGGCACCGCACTAACGTGTACAAGCCTCCTAGAGGCAGCGCCTCTCCAAAAGCAGGGCGAGACTGGAACACGAGGCATGGGCAGAGGTAAACTACACCCACACCCTGGAGCCAGGGTTGAAAATGCAGACATTGTATCTGAGAGACACCAAATTAAAGCCAGAGAGAGGAGGAAGGAGAGAGCTGTAAGGGCAGTTGAGGATCACAGTGCCTTCAGGGGGTCCTCACTGTCCATCTCAGCTCTGCCACCTAATGTCCAGTGACTCTGAACAGCTCAGCTTTCCTTTGAGATACTTAGATTTGAAAAACAAAAAACCGACATGGCAAATGTGTGCTAAGTCACTTCAGTCATATCTGTGTGATTTTATGAGCCATAGCCCGCCAGGCTCCCCTGTCCAAGCGATTCTCCAGGCAAGAATACTAGAGCGGGTCACCATTCCTTCTCCAGGGGATCTTCCTGACCCAGGGATCGAACCCTCGTCTCCTGCACCGCAGGCAGATTCTTTATCACTGAGCCACCTGGGAAGCCCTAGGCACTTCACAAATACCTGAGACCAAAGTGGTTCCAATATTATGTGTGTGTGTGCCCAGTCGTGTCTGACTCTCTGCAATCCCGTGGACTGTAGCCCGCCAGGCTCCTCTGTCTATGGGATTTTCCAGGCAGGAATACTGGAGAAGGATGCCATTTCCTTCCCCAGATTTAAATATTACATAATACTAAAACTGTAAAGTGTAATACTAAAATTGTCCAATGGTTTATCATCAAATATTAAATCAAGCAAATTATGACAGTGAAAGTACCTAGCCATGGCCCCCAAAGAAGGAAAAGTAAAGGTGGTATGCAAATGAAATGTGACCGACACCAGGTCTTGGGCCTGAGACCCATGGCCACTTGATGCCCTAGGATGTCAGACCAAAGTTGAACTGAATTCCTGTGAAGTGAGGCGCTGCCCTTCAAGCCCAGCAGAGGGACTTTCGAAAAGAAGGAAAGGCAGAGCTGTGAGGACAGTCCAGCCCCAGAGGCAGCTGGGGGTGGGGGCTGCACGCTCACCTGTACCGGGGTCCCGGCTCTGGGAGGATGTGGTCCTCGGGTCCCGTCCCGTTCTCCAGGCTCCCGAGGGGGGCATCTGCAGAGACAGCAGCCGCAGAGAAGGTCAGGGTTCTGCTCTCGCCCTCAGCTCTCCCATGAGACAGGAGCACGGGGCAGACACTGGCTCGCCTGCTAACTCCGCTGATGCAAGGCCTTCCCCATCTGCACGCTGGACTTTCGTCTGCGGCCTGTTTCATTTTTTTCAGCCGTCATCTCAGACTTGGCATCAGTCACTGGCTGGAGGCCCTGTTCTCCCACTTCAGCTTTTTTTCCCCTTCACTGAAGTGTGGCTCCCACACAATACTCTTATCAGTTCCAGGAATACAGCACAGCGATCCAGCATTTATACTAGAAACTGATTACATTACATATTGATCACCGCAACAGATCCAGCAACTGTCTGTCACCCACGGTTATTACAATAGCACTGACTACATCCCCTATGACTTTATTTATTAACCTTTCTGATCTTGAGCCACCTGAAATTATGCATGAAGTCCACGTCCAGAGACAACCTCAGAACCAGGGAATAATAATAAATCAGCTGTTAGACAAAAGGGCTCCCGCCTGCAGCGTCTGGAGACGGCCACGCGGGGGCAGCAGCGTCCACCTGTCACAATCGCATGACTGCCCCTCTCTCAAGAGCCCTGCGCCACGCAGGAAAGGCATTTGGAAGAAGTGAGGCCATAAGTCATCTCTACAAACAGCAGGCAAGAGGCAGCACAGACCTTCATAGATGCACTGGCTGCTGCTCATGTCTCTTTCCAGGAAAAAGAGCAAAATCCGTGCCCCTGGGGGGCATCAAGGCCAATGTCAGGAGAACACATGCACACTAGACAAACTCCTGGTGTCAAGGCCCCAACCAAGCCTGGAGCGGGACAGGGGGCCGGAAGGGAGCTCATCTCGCTCCCTAAGCCATCTGTCCCGTGACCTCCTCCGTTTTCACCTAGCTCTGCTCGAGATTCCCTGCTCTTAAGGGGTTGAAAAAGGGAATCCTAAGAGGAAAAGGATTCTCTCCCTTTTCCTTCCACCTGCTGTCCTCACGAAGCTACTCTGCTCACTCCCACCTCTTATTTTTCTTAATTTATATTAGAGTATAGTTGCTTTACAATGTTGTGTTAGCTTCTACTAACACAAGTGAATCTGATATATATATATATATTCCCTCTTTTTTGGATTTCTTTCCCCTTCGGGTCACCACAGAACGCTGAGTCTCCTGAGCTACACAGAGCCGGGATCTGATGTGAGTGGCATGCCCGCCAGGTCACGGCTCCTCCAGCTCTGACTCTAGCATCTTTAAGCAGCCTGAGAACAACACGCTTTCCGTGCGAAGTCCCCACCAACAGCGGGTTTGCCCCTCAGGCTGTCACAAGTTTCCAAGACTCCTGGCAGCTTCGTTACTGTAGTAAATTAAAAAGCTGGCGGACAGGCTCACACCCAGCATCCCTGGTGAGGAGGTCGGGGTCCACTCACCAGGGACAAGATGGAGCCTCTGGGTCTGGGAGGCTGACAGCGTGAGGAGGGACCGAGAGAAACCCGCCAGGCCAGGGGACAGCTGCCAGCAAGGACCCCAAAGGCTGGCCAGAACCCCAATGTGAAGAGCACGCAGCCAAGGCCTGGGGGCAGCCGGACGCGCCAGCCCAGCGGCAGTTCACGGCCCGGCCAAAAAGCCCACCGGCGGGGGTAGAATAAGGGGCGTGGGCCCCACGGATGCTGTGAAGGAGCCCTGGGAACCCTCCAGGGGTCCTAGACGAACATGAGGACCACCTACTCCCTGCCGGCAGCCCCACTTCGCAGACACTCCGCCCGAGTCTGCACTGTCCCTGCACGTCCCCGCCTGGGGGGGCTCGGACCCCAGCTGGTCACCCACGCGGAAGGAGGGCAGGGGCTCCCAGACCGGCCCACCCCAGGCTTCACCAGAGACCCAGACAGAAGCTCTGGCTGGTGCAGGAGACGCGGCCAGGGCAGTGTGTCGGCACCTCAACCAGGTACAGACCAGATGGGAGGGGGAGAGGAGGGGGGCAGACCTCCACCAGGAAGGGGGGCGCAGGGCCAGGAGGGCTGCGGGCCGGGCCAGGCCCCTCCACCCCCGGGTTTCTGCCTCTGGCACCCGCAGGACGCCCCCGTCACCCCACTGGGACGAAGCCAGCGGGGAGCCTGTCCGGGCCCTCCTGTGCGCCCAGCCTCTCCCCTCAGACCCCCTCGGGGGGCCTCTGCCCCACGTCTGAACGGTGACTCCCCTTCCTTGTGGGCTGCAGTCAGGAGGGACTGAGCTAGCCCAGACCGAGCACTGTGCATTCCCCGCCGCCGTGTGCGCTTCCCCAGAGAGACCAGCCTGGCGGACGGCGGCCACTCAGACCAGCAACACCACCTGCACCTTCGAGGTGACCGCCGCACCCCCCAGCCCCGACGGCACCCGGGAACGGGCCAGCCCTGCCCGAACTAGTCTGAGGGGCTTTCTGCTCCTCACGCAGCACCAGGACAACCGTCTGGCATCCGGCTCTGAATGTCAACAGCTTCCAGAGCAGCCGGTGGGCTCCCGTCCACAAACATCCAGGGCTTCCTAAACCTGGGCCCACAAGGTGAGAGGGGCGCCCACACGGCGGGTGCGGGGAGGCCTCGCCGACACGGTGGTCCTGCGGGGGCACCGAGAGCGGCCCAGCGCTCCCCTCTGCCGGGAGCCACGCACAGCCGCCCAGCCGGGAGTGCCGGGCTCAGCCACGACTCCCACCCTCACCCCGACACCTCCCACCACGACCCGCTCTAGCTGAAGAAAGCAGTAAACCACATGTGCGTTCCCGCTGCCACAAGGAGCGGGCCAGGAAGGCTTGCCCACTTTTCGCCAAGCTTACTCCCTGACCTCCAAGCCCTCAGCTGTCAATGGTGGGAGGGCCTTTAGAGCTACGGGTTCTGACCTTCTCCTTCCTCCTGAGAGGCAAAAATAATGGTCACCGTTTGTAAGCCACCAAGGTCAACAGATCGCTGCCAAGAAAGGAAGCGGGCCTGGGGGCTCCCGGGTGACGTGCCAACACCCGCTCAGCCGAGAGCACCGCAAAATATCCTGGTTCATTCAGCGAGGAGTCAAGCCGAAGCCACTGGGGCTCCCCTGCTGGTGGGGCCACCTGCTCTGAGACCCCACCTCCTGCCCCCCCCCAGACGTGACCCCTGATCCGGCCCCTCCTGCCGCTGGTCCGGCCACGACCCCTGGGGCGGTAGGGAGGAACCGGGGACACCCACCTGCAGGCCCGTAGGAGCCCACGCCGCTGACCGGGAAGAGCACCTCGGCGTGGCCGTGCAGCACCTGCAGCGGGGCCCAGCCGTGCATCTGGGAGAGGCAGGCGCCCCCGTCCCGCGGCCTGGGGGAGAGAACACAGCTGCGGGTCAGGGCCCCACCCAGCCTCCTGGGGAACCAGCCAGGCCGGGAGGGGGCTGAGAACAGGAGAAGGCCCGGGCGGGAGCCGGGAGCTGGCCCTCCTGCGCTTGCTCCTTTAGCCCATGTATACTGAGCCTCTCCTACCTGCCAGGCAGTGAACACACATGCGTGCATGCACACATGCACGCGCACACACACACACACACACACACACTCTGTGCTGGCAAAGAGCCAGCCAACAAGGTCCATCCTGCCCTCATGGAGCTTACAGTCTGCTGGGGGGTGCAGACATGAAGTATGTGCGTATGTGCTAAGTCACTTCAGTCATGTACAACTCTGTGATCCCATGGACTGTAGTCCACCAGGCTCCCCTGTCCATAGGATTCTCCAGGCAAGAATACTGGAGTGCGTTGCCATACCCTTCTCCAGGGGGATCTTCCTGACCCAGGGATCGAACCCTCATCTCTTACATCTCCTGCGTTGGCAAGCAGATTCTTTGCCACTAGCACCACCTGGGAAGCCCGACATGAAACATATGATCCCAAAAGAGAGTGAGAAACGGCAGCTCAGGTTCATGGGGCTGGTCGGAAAGGTGGTGGAAGGATTCTGTGAAGAAGGTAGGTTTGAAGTGAGTGGGGAGGGATGCACTAGGGCCACGCAGGGAGGTGGAAGGGGGAACAAGGATGGAAGGGGAGAGGTGACATGTGCCAAGGCTGAAGCAAGAGGAGGCCCCACGGGCTCTGGGTTCTGCAATAAGCTTGAGCCAGTGTCCCTCTGCCTCACTGGTCCTCAAAACCTCAACAGTAAAAAGGGCAGAACCAGACCAAACCATGTCTGGGCCACTTCCAAGAAAGGAGATCAGCTCGAATATTAACCAGGCTCATGTGATCTGTTACAGCGTCACCTTACCCACCACGTGCCAAACTAGCCTGTTAGACCTTTGTGACGCCAGGCTGGTTCAGTTACACGGGTTTGAGAAAGTATCTGCCCACTGCAGCATCTGCTTCTGGGCAAGAAGCCGACACTGATAAATACCAGGATGCATCTGTGCGGGACTTGAAGGCTTACAAACTCACGTTGTAAATCAGATGTAAAAAGACCACAGCAGATCATAGTCATGGCTACTTAATGGAGGGAGGGAGGCAGAGAGGAGGAGCAGGAGGAGAAAGGAAAAGGAGAAGAAGGGGAGGAGAAAGGAGGGGACGAAAACAACTCAAAGAGATCAGGCGACTTGTCCAAATCCATCACCTGGCCAGGACCAAGGCTGGTAGAATTCAGCCCAGGTCTTCCAGATCCGGTTACTATGAGTCTCCTGGCCACTGCTCATCATTTACACGATGCATGTATTTCTTTCATATGGAGCAGGGATTAACAAAGTTTTCTTGGAAAGGACCAGATAGCCAATACTTTAGACAATGTGGCCATTGTGGCTGTTCAGTAGCTAAGTCGTGTCCAATTCTTTGCAACCCCATGGACTGCAACACGCCAGGCTCCCCTGTCCTTCACCATCCCCTGGAGTTGGCTCAAATCCATGTTCACTGAAGTGGTGATGCTATCTAACCATCTCATCCAGTATACTTCTTTGTTGAGTTTTTTTTTTCTTTGTTTTTTGATTGGTTTATAAAACTTTAAAAAATATAACAGCCATTCTTGGTCTGGGGACAGATTTGGCCAGCAGGCTAGTTTGCCAGCTCTTTTCTTTAACTTTTCAAAAATGTTATTTGTTTATTTGTGGCTACACTGGGTCTTCACTGCTATGTGCGGGCTTTCTCTAGCTGCGGCGAGTAGGGGCTATGCTTCACTGAGGGGCATGGGCTTCTCATTGTGGTGGCTTCTCGATGCAGAGCATGGGCTCCAGAGCGCTTGGGCTTCAGTAGTTGCAGCGCACAGGGTTTAGTTGCTCCACAGCATGTGGGATCTTCCTGGACCAGGGATTGAACTTGTGTCCCCGGCATTGACAGGCGGATTCTTTTTTTTTTTTTTTCATTTATTTTTATTAGTTGCATGCTAATTACTTTACAACATTGTAGTGGTTTTTGCCATACATTGACATGAATCAGCCATGGATTTACATGTGTTCCCCATCCTGAACCCCACTCCCACCTCACTCCCCATCCCATCCCTCTGGGTCATCCCAGTGCACCAGCCCCGAGCACTTGTCTCATGCATCTAACCTGGACTGGCGATCTGTTTCACACTTGATAATATACATGTTTCGATGCTGTTCTCTCAGATCATCCCACCCTCACCTTCTCCCATACAGTCCAAAAGTCTGTTCTATACATCTGTGTCTCTTTTTCTGTCTTGCATATAGGGTTATCGTCACCATCTTTCTAAATTCCATATATATGCATTAGTATACTGTATTGGTCTTTATCTTTCTGGCTTACTTCACTCTGTATAATGGGCTCCAGTTTCATCCATCTCATTAGAACTGATTCAAATGTATTCTTTTTAACGGCTGAGTAATATTCCATGGTGTATATGTACCACAGCTTTCTTATCCATTCATCTGCTGCCGATGGGCATCTAGGTTGCTTCCATGTCCTGGCTATTATAAACAGTGCTACGATGAACATTGGGGTGGGTGCACGTGTCTCTTTCAGATCTAGTTTCCTCAGTGTGTATGCCCAGGAGTGGGATTGCTGGGTCATATGGAAGCTCTTATTTCCAGTTTTTTAAGAAATTTCCACACTGTTCTCCATAGCGGCTATACTAGTTTGCATCCCCACCAACAGTGTAAGAGGGTTCCCTTTTCTCCACACCCTCTCCAGCATTTATTGCTTGTAGACTTTTGGATAGCAGCCATCCTGACTGGCATGTAATGGTACCTCATTGTGGTTTTGATTTGCATTTCTCCGATAATGAGTGATGTTGAGCATCTTTTCATGTGTTTGTTAGCCATCTGTATGTCTTCTTTAGAGAAATGTATGTTTAGATCTTTGGCCCATTTTCTGCTTGGGTCATTTATTTTGGCAGGCGGATTCTTAACCACGGTGCCATCAGGGTCATTCTCCTTTGAGTCCTCTGGAGCTCCTGGTCACACATGTGATGCTCAGCCAGACACACAAGGAGAAGTGACCTTAACAGACTTTTGCCAGTTCCGTGACTGAGGCCTGCAGGTAACACACACCATGAGGCATGGGAGAGGAAGTGCCCCCACCTGTGTGCCCCACAGCAGAGCTGGGTGCTGGGGTGAACGTGGCTCTGTCTCTACAATCTGTAAAGAACTGCCTGCCTGCCCGGGGCTCCACTCCAGCAGCTGGCAACCAGGGGGACTCCCAGACAGACGCCCAGAGGCGGGCAGGGTGCCCCTCGGGACACAGCTGCAAAACCACAGTCCTTTCCTGGCCACTGTACTGGCTCCAGGTGGGTGGAATTTCCTGCTGTTTCTTTTCGTTGTTGTTGAATCTTTACTTCTGTAATTTTTTTAACTTATCTATTTTTAATTGGAGGATGACCGCTTTACAATGTTGTGCTCATTTCTGCCACACATCAACATGAAGCAGCCACAGGTGATACAAGTGTGTCCCCTCCGTCCCACCTCCCACCGCATCTCTCCCCCTAGGCTGTCACCAAGCAGCAGGTTCCCACTGGCTGCTTCACTTACATACGGCAATGTGTATGTTTCTATGCTACTCTGCTCCTTCTAAGGGGACATACACCTTGCCACTTTCCAACAACACGCGCAGAGCGCAAGCTGAAGTCAGGCCCCTCCCGCTGAGGTTCGGATCCACATAAAAGTGGGCAAGGGACCCCCAGCCCAGAAAGGGGTTACACTGAGGTCATTCCTGAGGCAGAGTCCAGTTCAGAGTACGGTGCCAACACCAGAATGGGTGATGCTTTTCATTAGAGAAGATACTTAAAAAAAAAAAAAAACTAGAAAATGCCACAAAGAGGAGGGTAGTGTTAGTTGCTTAATCGTGTCTGACCCTTTATGACCGGAGAGACGACAGCCTGCCAGCCTCCTCTGTCCAAGTGATCCTTCAGACAAGAGTACTGGAGTGGGCTGCCATTCCGTTCTCCAGGGGATCTTCCTGACCCAGGGATGGAACCCAGGTCTCCCACATTGCAGGCGGATTCTTTACCATCTGAGCCAGCAGGGGGGCCCAAAGAGGAGGGGGAAAATAACACGCCCGAAGCCACGTTATCCAGAACATGACTGACATGGACACCGTCGCTTCAGTGCCTTTTTCTTGACTTGCATACTTCTCTTTAAGAGGCTGTGACCCAACTAAATGTAGGTTTTTATAATTTCCTTTTTTCATTCACTATATAAGTTCTTCCTCACACTATGTGGATACTCTCAGATGTCATTTAAGATGTTTAAGATCCTGAACATTAAGATTTAAGATTTGAACTATGAAATACTCCACTGTTCACTGTGAATGATTCCTCGGTGGGCAGTACCTTTCGGTCAGGTCCACTGTACTGTCTCTCTAAATCAGCACATTGTCATCTGGAGGCAACAACCTTTGTTGTTTAGTCATTCTGCTTCCTGGCAGCGGAATGACTAAATCAAGGGGACTAAACACTGAGGGCAAGAGGAGAAGGGGACGACAGACGATGAGACGGTTGGATGGCATCACCGACTTGATGAACATGAGTTTGCGCAAACTCCAGGAGATGATGAAGGACAGGGAAGCCTGGAGTGCTGTGGTCCATGGGGTTGCAGAGAGTCAGACACAACTGAGCGACTCAACATCAACAACAGAACATTTTTAAGGCTCCTGACGCTGTGTCACACTATTCTCCCCAGAGGCCATGCACGTGGCCAACGCTCTATCAGGACGATGCGAGCGCCAGCCTCGCCTGATCTTTATACATGTTAATGCCGACTATGTGTCTGGAAGACTCTGAGCACTGATAGCCAGCCATGCTGGCAGGGCACTCACCCAGGTCCGCCCTCCACCTATTTCTCTTCTTCAAACTTGATGAAGATGATGGCAAAGTGCAGTGTCTGGTTTCACTATGTGTTTGCTT